ACAGTTACCTTCTTTGATGGTAAAAGGAGGAAGTGCGAATATATCCTTGGGCAAGACCTATCACCACGCGATGTGGGACTTGCCTTATGACTTAGGGTGATATCACTAAACGTTTCCAATTTAAAAACTAAAATGATATATCCTGTATCCCGAAGAATTCTCATGATTTGGTTTATGTTGTAGTTGGAGGTTCTGTCCTCCTAAGGCAGGTGTTTTTTTTATTTTTTTTTATTTTCCTGCCTCTTTCTGTCGCTTGATTACTGCGGCCATATGTCCCTGCTTAGCATTCATTGCAGCGAAAGCATTTTCATATATTTCATGGAGACTCATAGACAACAAAACTCCAGCGGGAGGATCAAAACTTCTTCACTGTCTTGAAAATGATTTTGTTGTGTCAAATAGGTCTGTAGCCAACATTTGCCTAGGAACATGTGTGACCTGCCCGAATGCCTATTGTATAACATGATGTCCATGGAATATTCACCCACACAAAAGTTGGCTCCAACGTGGATTTATTCTGTAAGCACCCCTAAGCTGACTGGTTTCCTTTTTCACTATTTTTCGACCCCCGATACTGCCAAAGAAAGTTCTATTCAAAGGTACAGGAGATTAGGCAACGCTATGAATTATCTAGAGGACCACGTAATCTAAAACAACGATTGGTTAAGTAGGAGTTTCCTCTTTCACAAGATTAATTACTTTCAAAAAGCTCAGATGGATAACAACCACAGAAAGATCATGACAGGTGACGGTTACAGTTTAACACTAATTACCGATATGATCTAATAATAACTGTTTACGACTGACTGTATTGAGACCGGTATCATTTACCCATGCTGAACTTAGCAAAATCTCGCAGTTTCTACCTTGAATTTTATATACTTTTTAGCGCTAGCATACAAACTTGACAGCTAAAAATCCTATCGTTACAGCAGAAGTTCGGCCCTTTCTTTTCGTTACCCGTAATGCAAGTTTACCACGTTTGATTACGTAACCAGCGCCTAGATCTAAAAGGGTATTGTGGTTTTCATTATTTTAATAACAGAATGCATGACAACTGTCATTACAAAGTGCAACTACCTATCTTACCGGTCTTAAAACTTGGGATAGTCTTTTATTACAAAGTGAGACGGCTTTTGTATAAAACAGTGCGACAATTGTTATTACAGATTGATGGGTATTACATAGTGCGACGGGTATCACAAAGTGCGGGAAAACATTCCATAAGCGAAATGACCTTTTTTAGCCTAGAAAATTACGCTATATGCTGTGACCTATTTTAGAAAGGTTCCAAATGTAAATTCGACAGTTTTGTCTGATGGATTTACTTTGCATCTAGCTTTATCAGAATACAATAACATCGGCGATTCTTAACGGACATTTTGCGGAACTCGTGGCTAACAACTCTTCGATGGAAGGTCCACCGCTTTCTTGTTTCCACCTGCCCGATCCATCTTTTGACCACGTATCTGAGCGTTACACGATGAACCTTATAACAGCCATAATCAATATTGTAACAGCCCCTCTCGCTGTCATTTGCAACCTTTTAATTTGCGCTTCTATCATAATTCGGCTTCGAACACCATCGAACCTTTTGATCGCAAGTTTGGCCCTCTCGGATGTCTTTGTTGGTCTTGCAGTTCAGCCGGGTTACATCATGTACCGACTCATGGAAAATCAGCATCGTTCCGTTCCCTGCTTTGTCAGAATTGTATATGCAAATGCTTTCTACATTTGCTATGGAGTGGCCCTTATGACGCTAGCTACTGTCAGTTACGAGCGGTTCGTAGCAGTTCGTCTTCGGGCAAGGTACAATGCTGTGTTCTCCCCCAGGCGAATAATGAAGTATACGGCGTTTATCTGGGTTTTCAATATTATTTTCACAAGTCTGCAGTGGGCCGATGTAAACAAGATTTCAAAAGGGATGCATTTGGTGGCTTGGTTCATGTCTCTCGTTATCGCTGCAGTGGCAAATATGGGAATCATTTTTAATTTGCGCCAAAATCGAAACCGAATGCAACCTGCCAATTCTAACCTGCCTGAACGGAGTCAAAGGCAAAGAGAACTGAGGTTGACAAAAAGCGTGTCCTTCATCGTTGGGGTCTACTTAATGTTTAACTTGCCTGTCCTACTTGTGAAGCTTTATAATCAGATACTGGGGAGAGATATCAAGACATACAACCACTACAGCTGGACAGAAACTCTTGCTCTTCTCAATTCGTGCACGAATCCATTGGTGTGTTGTTGGAAAAATCGCGAAATCCGTCAGGCGGTGAAGGCAATAGTAGACAGAATTATCCCCAAATAGAATACTTTAAGATTGGAGCTCGAAAGAGATGTCAATTCTTGCACAAATCCAATGGTGTGTTGTCGGAAAAGTCAGGAAATCCGTCACGCTTTCAAAGAAGTCCTGAACAAAATATTTTGCTGATAAAAAACGTCTTCATTTAAAAGAGAAAAGAGAAGGAAACGTACAGGCAAATACGTATGCTTTAATAATCTTAGCTTCTAATGGTATGGATCGTTTTTAGCTTCCCTTTTTCCTCTGTCATGTGGGCGATCTTTGGTAATCTTAAACTCTCGCTTTGTTCCCTCCATGAAAAGTTCGTACCAATCATTGGCTGCAAACTCCGCATAACACTAAACACAGCTTCTTCCAGAGAGGCAACCAGCAGGCCTTTTTCAATTTTTTCCTTATGTGTATATGAACATATTTACCAATGGAAATAATACGAGGTGGATTATTCAATACTTTCCGATACAAGAGCTTTTTAAGACTGTTAGGCGGACTTCTGTGTTCTAGTGTTCCCATATGAAACATAGTTAGTTATCTAGGAGTCAACTGCCTGAAGGATCTTTAACTTCACTGAAACCTAATTCGCTAAAAAAAAATTATAAAAAAATGTTTCAACTCTAATACAAGGTTTTCCTCTTTTTTCCGTTCTCTTACGTTACCCAAGCGTTTTTGCATTGCGTCTCTGCAAGTAACACTCTACAAAGGTTTCTTCACTTCATGAGATGTCATTCCAGAAAAGCAAATTTATTCTGAACAGTTCTCTAACCATGTCAGTGTGCCTCAAAGTAAACCGAAACCTGGTTAGCCCCCTTAGTATACTGTTTGAATTCAAGTTTGAAATCCAAGGAACCAGAAGGTCAGTTATTAAATTTATATATGAAAAAAAGCATAATCATGTGGGATCATCCGACTCAACTGCAACCATTCTAGCTTGAGACCGTTGATATTTCCCCAAAGAAAACTTTTTCAATCGTCTTAGGTTAGAATACAGTTATTCCCGCGAATATAAATTACTAGATGCCAGATCTCTTACTGAAAAACTGTCAAACGACTTTCGACAGCTGCGTTTTCACCTCCCTATAATTCAAATCTGCCATCTTTTACATTTCTAGCGTGTCATACAAGTCGAAATTAAAGGCATTTTTTCATTTTTGATTTGATAATTAAATAACTGGAAAGTGGACCCAAGTGTATTAACCGAAGAAGGCTTTAATATTCACTGACAGTATAAGCAAAACGTTTCCAAGGC